TCAAACACATGTCTTAAGCTCAACAACTCCAAAAAACAGACTGAGGGCCTCAAGCACCAAGTAGTACTTTTCTTATACTACGTACCTCTCGATCGCCTCGCTACAGTGATCCGATCGCCTTGCCGAGTAAACATAAGCAACCATGTCATAGCCGGGGAGCAGAGCTGCATGCGGGTTTGTCTCAAAGGTGAACCCGAAAATGGGTTGTTTCCCTTCGGAGTCCTTTTGGCTGCCTTTGACACATCCAAAAAAGGGTTCCCTCAGAATAAACACCCATGTGGGGAGTTTTGGGTGATCAATTGTGAGAGCAAATCGTGCATGTCTCACATCGACCGAGGTACTTTTCTTGGATCACCCTTGCCATAAGACGTAGCAAGAGATGAGCTGGATGGAATTCACCCGCGGAGATGCCGGCTGCATGTCACGGAATCGCCTTTCAGAAATACAACCCTGACAATGTCATGCGCATTCAACTTTACCCGGCAATGCTCACCAAATCGTGTGTTGGAAGTCTTGGCTACCACAGACATTGGTCAAGTCGTTGCCGTCAGTAAAACAATTCCCATTTGCTATGTTGCAAGGAGCAATCATGCTTGTGACGGGGATATCGCGCAGTCAGATGGATGGCTGTACAGGTTAAAATCTTTACCCAGATTTGGGATGAGACAGCTGGACCCTCAATCAATTTCTTTGAAGGGCACCGAGCGGGACGTTGCTTTGGCAACTTTGGTGAATTGCCATGTTTAAACATGTGGCAAAAGCCCAACTTTGGCGATCAACCAGAGTTTGAAGCAATTGATTCTGGGCCCCATAGAGTAAATATTTGTAGAAAGGATTTCAGTTTTACCCTGTCCACTTTGTTGCGTGGCAAGTTCCAACTAAAAATTGTCAAACCTTAACAGGGTTCCCTGTCTTACAAGGGCCACAGGCAACTGGGTTTGAAACTTGGACTTCATTCTGAATTCTGGCTTGGGCAAGACAGTTAGGTCTTTGCGAAGGCTGTAGATGGCAGTAGCGGCGGGCGAATCTACTTCCGAGTTGCGATGTCTTGCCAACCCACACTGTGAGCTGAGGGGCTGCTTCCAACAAAGCGGATGCTATTATTGAGTTCTTGAGGCACTCATAGGTGAAGTACACGGTTGCGCTGCGGATGTCCGCTGCTTTGTGTCAGCCGCATCTACCAAACGAGGGCCGTCATGTTGCATGGGACGATAAGTGGTTTGCAGGAGGGAAGCAGCCATGAAGATGTTTGGCGTTTCGGAACATCCCTATTTCGCCAGGAACCAGCCGGTTTCTCACTTGCAGGGTCAAGGCAGACAACCCCGAAGCAAACTGGTTGGATTCCCCTCACCGTCCCAGTGCCTTCGGACATGGTCAACCGGTTGCCAGTTTTATTCATGGACGAAACAGGTTTTAACCCCTTTCCCCCCCTCCCCCCCCCCCATAAACTGGGCATGTTGGAAGGCCACGCCTAACGATTAACATCCTCTGGGGAAGAGATGTTTTTGTTGTCCTTTTGTGTGGCAAGCCATACTGTACCTTTTCATGGCAACCACTTCGAGTGGCAGACGGCTGATCTAGAAGGAAAGCCCCAAGGAAAGAAGAGCAACGGACAAACGAAGGGGCCCCAGACCCCCCTGAATAGTCGCAAGCACATGTGCAAGGTTACGGCTGGGGGTTGAGGCGGTCGGGCATGTTTGTCCAGGCTCATCACACACCTGTTCCAAACAACCGAGCCATTCAGTTGTCTTCACGCAACTCTCTAAACACCCGACGATGAATCGAAAAGCGTCAGGGCTCATTCGCTTCATGGCCGCTTAAGAAGTCTAAGTCTACGAACCTCCTTGGGGCCTTTGGTCTCCTCCCGAAGTCGGAACATGAGTCTCACCCACCCTTCTCTCTCCTGGAGGTTCGAAGAGGGTGCCTTGGTCAAAAGGGCCGCTTCATTGGGGTGGGTCGATTTTGGACAGCCATTAGGATTCCCATCAATTGAGGCATGGCCCACACCAGGAGTTTCGGCCATACGCGTGATGCTTTGGGTTTCTGATGCGTGCAGATTCTTCAGATGTCCAAACCATTTTGTCACGGAGCTTCCCGTCGGCCATGCGATGCTCGTGTGCTCAATCTGTTCCATAGAGGCGAAGGGTTGCTCCGAGGCGCTGTGCTGGGATCTCAAGGGACCCACTTGTCTCAAGCTTTCTATGTGCATATACACCATGTGCACCTCAGTCCAGATGGATTTGGATTTGATTCTATCATGGATTTGGACAAGCTCACTATGCCTAATCTCCCTCTTGGTCTTGGCAACCCCTTTGGCAAAGTCCCAGAAAAGCCACCCGGCACGTTCCTTCGGAGCAAGCCCACTGCTGCGGCTTGTGCTCAAGCCAAGTGCGATCCAGGGCTCGGGAGAGGTTGCAGCCCGATGTTTCGTTGATTGTTGAAAGTCAGCAAAATAATGGCAAGCATGGCACAACATGTTCTTGTTTGCCTAGGTTGATGAAGTGCTATGTCTTTTGATGGTTGGACTAGCCACAGACATGAATGGTTGGACACAAATCCCGTGTGTAAGTTTCAAGGGTTCAGAATGAAATAAGTTAAATGTTGAGTTTCGACAAGGGCACTCAGCTCGTTTACTTGGGGGAAACTGAGCTTGCATGACTACAATTGCTTTTTTAAGATGTTTCTTGGGCTGGGTTTGAACAGAAATGCTGAACACCTGGTGTTTGGACAAACGTGGTTGATCGCCATGCCCAAACAAATGAGCCTGTTTGAATGTTTGGGGTGCCCTGCATTAGGAGCCGAATGTTTGGCTTAGGCTTGATTGGTTTCTCGACTAATTGTTATATCATATGTACGCGCGTTCGTTATTGTATATTTCCGGCGAACAACAATGACATACTAAGGAGCTGTATGAGTGCACATGTCCGAAACGTGGTCATCTTTCAGCCCATACTGCGCAACCAAGACTCGGCAATGCGACCCCAAAGGGTCGACAAAGTGCGCGTCAGCTCAGCAAACTTCTGCCTCGCTTCTGGATGGCTCGCTCGTGCACCTCTTTGAGACCACCGGCTCCTCAAAAATCCGAACTTCAAAGCTTTTGGTGGGAGATGGTGACAACGTTGACTAGGGTCTCCTATATTCTGAGGTTGACTATGGATCAGAATCTGAAAGGTTTGACTTTAAAAAGGGTCCCACAGTGTGAACTCTTTTTTTTCTTCTTCTAAACCTAAGAGTTCCTTCCTCACCACGGGAAGGGTGGAGCCTTGCCGGTGAATGTTGTTGTGGGACCGGGTTCGCTTAACCCCGAACATGTCTTCGGGCTCATGAGCCAAAGGTACAAGTAGGATGGACAACGCAGGTTTGGTTGGGAAATCAGTGCTCCCCGACCGCTGTTTGAGGACCACCAGTGTTGACTCAATGAACATGGAGCCCCGGGGAAGCCAAATGCTTGGTTCGCAGGCAGTGATTATGGGCCATCTAAGCCTATGGAGAGGCATCTGGTCGATTTGATCCGGGCTCCGAATAAGCATGTGCGTGTCGCTCTGTGGAGTGTTGTGGGGTCAGGGAATCATATACCTGGGTTTGTGTTGGTTCGTTTCTTTGTTTGTTTTTGTTGGGATGACTAGTGAGCTCTTCTCTTGCTGCGGGGCAGATAATCTTGCCACCCAATCTGTGCAACCTGAAATTCACGTGACTTGGGACAAGTCTGAAGAGCATAATCTTCCCACACATAAAACCACATCCTTCTGAAAATGACAGCAACCTCATAGGGGTGGTGCGACCCCCCAAAAAGCAAGTCGTCCTCTTAGGATCGTGAATGTAGCCCAACAGTTCACCCAGCTGTATCTTACCACTTTGCAAGGTGCGCGTGACGAGCGGAGGCATCACATTTCTTCCTCTTACAGCGGGCGAGTTCCCAAAGCCTCGAGCTTGGCGCGTGCGGCAGACCCGACGACCCAGCCACACGACCCACATAGGGCATGGTTTAAGGCAGCTGTAAGGTAGTTTGAAGGCGGGTTCAGGGCGGGGTTCGGGCTAAATTAGGGTGGGCTGAGGATGTGTGTGTGTGTGTGTTTGGGTATCGGAAACATTGATCATGCTTCGACACACCTGGCTGATTGTTAATACTGATCGGATTTGCAACAATCCTCCGTCTGGGGTGAACGTACACCGCAGTATTCTTTTGTGCAGGATCCGAACTGATGCCAGCTACTTTCACCCAACTGTTCGTGTGCCCTTGTCAATGCTCCTGCACCCTTGGAATGTCTACTGTCTGCATGTAGATGGCTCATGATGGCTCATTAAGTGATACAACATTTGGCCATTTAGTGCAGGCCAAAAGGATCCCGCCATTCTGGGCGGGAACCGTCGGCTGAGAACCTCTGTCTTGCGCTGGACAATACTGACAATACTCCGCAACTTATTGCAAGTTTGTCGCCTAAGTCGCTGGCAGCACAAGCCTATTCTTTCTGATCAACCTAGCTGGGCAAGTCCTTCTTTCGCGGCCAGTCAACCTACCTCGTTCCCATCCAAGACGCAGGTCTTGGGGTCTGCCCACAGCCAAACTGCTCGTGCACCGGCCCAAAACACTGGCGTGATGGAAACATGGTGCCACTGGAAGTCAGGGGGCCACTGGAAACCATGGGCTCAAAGCTGGGGGATCTACGTCTTTGAGCTGATCTACGTGCTTGGCCGGCTCGATCCATGGAAAGGTTCCCAGACCTCCGGTGATCTGGTTTTAGCGGCTCCGTTTCCCTGGAAATCGAGCGGTCTCCGTTGCGGCCCAGCACGCCTGGGTTTCCCATGGAGTGAGATACCCAGCGTTGTCTGTTTGGGCTTCCCCGTTGGACGCCTTTTTTGTTACAGGGCTGTCTCAAAGCAGGGAGACCCAGGTTTCCTTCCGTTTCCCTTTTGAAACAACCAAAAAGGGAGCCAAACCAACAGAACCACACACCCAAACAGGGAATCTTCCCGTTAAAAGTGCGCGCGCCGGTCTGCAGGCTGCCTATGTCGCAGCTTCTCTCACTGGTGTCGCAGAGGGCGCCCCAGCCGCCGCAGCCTCGATCAGGGCCTTTGATTGTTTCTGGTATTGCGGTTGCATTTGTGAGTTGTTTGGGTTGGTTTGTCCGGGTTGTGCTATGTGTTTCGTTTTTTGAGGGGAGGGTTCTGCGAGTTTTCCCATGTTTGTTGCAGTGTGTAAAAACAAACAAAACATAACCAACTGCTGACTTGTTCTGGGTTTCCCTGGTGTTGTCCCACATTGGGCTTCCAAAAGTTTCAGGAATCATTGTTTGTATTTTTTGTGTTTTCCATGAGTCTAAAGTGGTTTATGTGTTTTTTTCCACCAAAGGTGTTCACCTGGGTTTGTGTCTTTGGTGTTGTTCTTGGTTGTTTGCGGGTTTCGCCGGAGTGGTTCCCTAGTTGTTTTCCAGGTGTTTGGTGGGTCGTGAGTATAGCAGGCATTTGACCTTGCACCTTGCATGACGTGAGCTAATATGCAGGATGGACAGACCTGGAGGCAAAAGGCGCCTCACACTTGTTAGGGCTAGTAGCATCCCACCTTCATGGTAGCAGAGCCTCTGGTCAGGCCTGCGGATGGTACTTGAGGAGCCTCAAGACCAATGAGAGGAGCAGCGCGGCATCAAGTATCTGGCAGGGTCCAGCAAAGTCGGTTGCGCGCCACTTGAACCCTGAGGTCTTCGATCGCTCGACTGGGCTGAAGGACCTCCTTGAGGGATAACCCCTTGCGGCAGCTGCCGACGTTGGGTTCATCAGGAACGCCGGAATCACGTACCTCACCGACAAGATCAAGAATGAGATCGATCGTGACCCTCGTAGCAGTCAGAAGGCGATGGCTCTGCCAAGGACCAGGTTTGACGAGGTGGCACCTACCTGGAACGGACGTGTTTGAGTACGCTCACGACGGGCGAGTACAAGTTCATCCACGATAGAGGTTCTGAGCACGGGGGCCAAGCACGAAGGACGTTGGATTGCTCGTTGCGCCAGCGGAATGCCAGGACGAGCCGGGCTGTGTCAAGCCATACGCGCGATTGGACCTTCTGGGTCCGGCCCGATGCTTTGCCGAGAAGTCCAAGATCCACCACGAACGAGCCAAAGCCAATGACCGCTTCAGTAAGCTCAACCACACGATTGGGCGACAGGCATGAGAGAAGTACCAAACCGGAGAGTTGGTCTTGCTTGGTGCGGCGGGACACTGGGTCGGACTGCTGCAGGAGGACATTGATCCGGCCCCCAACGGCTGTGACGGCGTTGATGAAGCAGGTGGTGTAGGCGGTGGGGACAGCTACGTTTTTTCGATGGGCGCGTGGACATGCCCAGCTTGGTGACGGTCTGACCAAGTTCAACGAGCCGAAGATGTTGTTGTAGATCTTCACGAGTGGCTGGTGTGAGTATAGCAGGCGTTCGACCGTCTACCTTGCAGTGTAGAGTGTGCTCCAGAGCTAATAGGCAGGACGGACAGACCCAAATCCAAGAGGCGCTTCACGCGCGTTAGGGCTAGTAGCAGCCAACCTTCCGGGTTCTGCGGGTTTTGATGTGATTCCTATTGGTTTTCTTCAGTTGTTATTTTTGTTGGGCCCCCTCTGTGTTTCCACGTTTTGCTTCTGGGGTTGGCACGTAAGCCCCTAAGTTTTTCTCTGGGTTTCTTCCGGCGTTGTTGGTTTTTGTTTGTCAGGCGTTCCCTGTGGTTTGTCAGCGGGGCTTCCCTTGGCTGAGTTTTTCTCTGGAGTGTCCCCGAGTTTTTACTGGGGTGTCCGCCTGTTCTTTGTTTTTTTGTCCTCGGGTTTTCCCGAATTTTCCCTCAGTGCCTCCCTGAGTTGAGATCTCGGATCTCCGGTGGTTGTATATATGCTACTGCTGGCTTCCGCAGTTGGAAGGCGACATAGCCAAGGCGCTACCTCCTTTCCGAAACGACATGTCCAATGAGCTGGCAATACCCAATTCACGTAGCTAGAGGCCAGAGCAGGCGGTTGAGAATCGAATCCTGGTTGATCGCTCGTCTAGACTGGCGGGGGGCGTGGGGGCACATGCAAAAGGTAGGGATAAATATTGCAGTCCACCTCCTGTGTGCCTCGCATGTTGCATGCTGCATGATTTTAGATTGCCCAAACGATCTCAAGTGGAAATTTCACAAAGGAATAAACCCGGTGCTTGGCAACCATGTTCGCCCGCTTTTTGTTCGTGCCATGCGCCCAATGCGCTGCAGCGTGCGCACCAAGCATGTGAGATTTCCACCCGCAAAGAAGTGGAATCAGGCAAGGGGCACCCTGGGATCTCATGTATGGTTCCGTTGTCCCTTTCCACAATTACTGATGAGGTTCAGAATGCGCCGCAGGTTTATGATGTTAGAAGGAATGAACTTTCATGAGACTTGTTTGTTTCAACATGTTTCAACCAAGGGTTGCTCCATCCTTTGTTTTGAAGAGGGCCGGCCAACTGTGACTCCATGTTGTGTTACGAGGGCGGAGGGTTCCCGCAAATATCCGCTCCTTTTTTGCTTTCAATCGGTGGGCACACCCGTTCAACTCAGTACTGCACACACGCCAGACACCTGGTAAGCACACCTGCTCACGTGCGCCCGTGCAGCACTGCACACACGGCATCCACATCGTAAGCACATCCGTTCAACTGAGCCCGCCCAGCACTGCACACACGCCAGCCACATGGTTGGCACGCACAATCACGCGCACCCGTTCAGCACTGCACACACGCGAGCCACATGGTAAGCGCACCCGTTCAACTGAGCCCGCTCAGCACTTCGCACACACACACGCACACCGGCCACATGGTAGGCACACTCGCTCATGCGCACCCGCTCAGAGCTGCGCACACGTTTGTCAGATGGTAAGCACACCGGTTCAACTGAGCCCGCTCGGCACTACACACACGCCTGTGAGTTGGCAGGTGTCCATTGGTTTCTTATCTTGCTCTTGCGCGGGGGCGCATCAGCGTGGGCTGGAGTTTCGGGTTTTCCCGCCACTCGGTTTTTGAGCATGAGCATGTAAAAGACTCTGGAGTTTCAACAAACAAGTCTTGGAGTCATGTAGATACTATATGATACTGGCAATGGTTGTTGGCTCGTGCTGCTGAAAGTGCTGCGTGCCATCAAGTCATGTGGGGCTTCTGTCGAAAAAACCCTGAAAACAGCGGGGCCGCTAACAGGGGCGTGACCTTGTTTTTGGGGTATGCGTTTTGGGCATCCTCTCTCCCCCAAAATTTTAGGAAACCGACATTTGGAACACCACCCTTTTCTTGATGCCCCATTTTGGGGTATGCTTTTTCGGGAAGACAACCCTTTTTTGACACCCTGTTTTTGAGGTATGCCTTTTGGGCGTCCTATCTCCCCCGAATTTTGGAAAATCCCTGTTCGGAAGAAAACCCTTTTGTTTGGAAGACAACCCTCTTTTGCCACGTTATTTTTTGGGTGTGCTTTTTTGGGCGCCCTCTCACTTCTCTCCCCGCATTGCGGGAAAAGAGCGTTTGGAGCACCACCCAGTTTTGATTCGTTTATTTTTGTGTTTTTGTTTTGGGGAGGTATGCATGTTGGACATCCCCTCTCTTCCCCCAAAGGACAAGATCCCCAATCAAGTGTCAGAGAGCCTAGGTCCGACCCCAGACTTGGTTCAGCAGGGAATCCGGCCTTGATTTCAGCGAGGAAAAGGCTGAACCCAAAACAGCTTCAGCAAAAGGGGCGGGATTGAAAAAAGGGGGGCCCGCCCTGGGAGGAACCCACAGGTTTTGCCGAGAAACAAGCCCCAAACAAGTTTCGGCAAGACACCCAGCCTTGACCCCAAACAAGTTTCGGCGAAGAACCCGCCCAGCATTGACCCCCAAACAAGTTTCGGCGACTGATCCAGCATTCACCCCAAACAAGTTTTGGCGAGGGATCCGGCGTTGACCCCGAAAACAAGTTTCGGCGAGGACCCCAGCGTTGACCCCCAAAGAAGTTGCGGCGAGTGACCCGGCATTTACCCCAAACAAGTTTCGGCGAGGAATCCAGCGTTGACCCCAAACAAGTTTCGGCGAGGAATCCAGCGTTGAAATCAAACAAGTTTCGGCGAAAATCCCGGCAGTGACCGCCAAACAAGTTGCGGCGAGTGACCCGGCATTCACCCCAAACAAGTTTCGGCGAGGGGTCCGGCGTTGACCCCCAAACAAGTTTCGGCGAGGAATCCAGCGTTGACCCTCAAAGAAGTTTCGGCGAGCTCCTCAGCGAGTAGCTCTCCCAAATGTTGTTGGTCCAAGAGTTTCGGTGAGCACCTCACAGAGTACCTCTCCCAAACCCCCCCCCCAACTCCCCAAATTTCTAGAGAAACCAATTCCCTCTATGCCCGAATCAACTTGGGGGTAGATCTGGGTAGGGTTTTCGGTGAGCTGCTGAGCGAGTAGCTCTCCCAAACTTGGGTTAGCAAGGAGGGTCAGTTTCGGAGAGGAATCAGCGTTCCACCATCCCAATCCAAGCCTCCCGGAAGCGGCAAACAGCCATAGCCCCGCAAGAAGCTGGACATCTTAATCTTGGACCAACAACATTTGGGAGAGCTACTCGCTGAGGAGCTCGCCGAAACTTCTTTGGGGGTCAACGCTGGATTCCTCGCCGAAACTTGTTTGGGGGTCAACGCCGGATCCCTCGCCGAAACTTGTTTGGGGGTCAACGCCGGGTCACTCGCCGCAACTTCTTTGGGGGTCAACGCTCGCTTCCTCGCCGAATCTTGTTTGGGGCTCAACGCCGGATCCCTCGGCGAAACTTGTTTGGGGTGAATGCTGGATCACTCGCCGAAACTTGTTTGGGGGTCAATGCTGGGCGGGTTCTTCGCCGAAACTTGTTTGGGGTCAACGCTGGGTTCCTCGCCGAAACTTGTTTGGGGTCAACGCTGGGTTCCTCTCCGAAACTTGTTGGAGGGTCAACGCTGGGTTCCTCGCCGAAACTTGTTTGCGGGTCAACGCTGGGTTTTTTGCCGAAACTTGTTTGGGGTCAACCCTGGGTTCCTTGCCGAAACTTGTTTGCTGGATTCCTCGCCGAAACTTGTTTGGGGTCAACGCTGAATTTCTTGCCGAAACTTGTTTGGGGTCAGCTCTGGGTTCTCTCCGAAACTTGTTTGGTGTCAACGCTGGGTTCCTCGCCGAAACTTGTTTGGGGTCAAGGCTGGGTGTCTTGCCGAAACTTGTTGGGGCTTGTTTCTCAGCAAAACCTGTGGGTTCCTCCCGGGGCGGGCCCCCCTTTTTCAATCCCGCCCCTCTTGCTGAAGCTGTTTTGGTTTCAGGCTTTTCCTCGCTGAAATTGTTTGTGTCAAGGCCGGATTCCCCTCTGAACCAAGTCTGGGGTCGGACCTAGGCTGGCAGACACTTGATTTGGTTTAGATCTTGTCCGTTCGGGGGAAGAGAGGGGATGTCTAACATGCATACCCCCCCCGCCAAAAAAACACACAAACAAGAAAACGTATCAAAACGGGGTGGTGCTCCAAATGCTCTTTTCCCGCAATGGCGGGGAGAGAAGTGAGAGGGCGCCCAAAAATGCACACCCCAAAAACCAAACATTTATTTCCCAAAATTCGGGGGAGATAGGACGCCCAAAAAGCATACCTCAAAAACAGGGTGTCGAAAAAGGGTGGTGTTCCAAATGCCGATTTCCAAAAATTTTGGGGAAGAGAGGATGCCCAAGAAGCATACCCCAAAAACAAGGTCACGCCCCTGTTGGCGGCCTCCCTGTTGTCAGGCTTTTTTCGACAGAAGCCCCAAGTCACGCGCAGCACTTTCATCAGCATGAGCCAACAACCATAGCCAGTGTCGTGAGGTAGTTGCATGACTCCAAGACTTGTTTGCTAAAACTCCAATGTCTTTTTAGTGCTGCTCATGCTCAAAAACCGAGCGGCGAGAAAACACGAAACTCCAGCCAGCGCTAATACGCCGCTGCGCAAGAGGAAGATGAGAAATCAATGGACACCTGCCAACTCGCAAGCGTGTGTGCAGTGCCGAGCGGGCTCAGTTGAACCGGTGTGCTTACCATGTGTGTGCAGTGTTGAGCGGGTGCTTACTATGTGGCTGGCGTGTGTGCAGTGCTGAGCGGGTGCATGTGAGCGGGTGTGCTCACCATGTGGCTGGCGTGTGTGCAGTTGAAGGGGTGTGCAAAACCATGTGGCCAACCGTTTGAAAGCAAAAAAGGAATGGACATTTCCGGGACCCCTCCACCCTCGTAACACAACATGGAGTCAGAATTGGCCGGCCCTTTTCAAAACAAAGGACGGAGCAACCCTTGGTTGAAACAACCAAGTCTCATGAAAGTTCATTAAGGGTAAATGTGTGTCAGCTGTGCACACCTGGTCGGAGCGCCTAACTTATGCTAAATGTGATTGTTATGAGGTATTTCAGTCCCCAAGGGGTCCCCAAATGGCCCTTCACTTCAGCAAATGCAGTATTATCAAATCGGACCATCTATCAATAGTCAACAGTTTAGCGAAAGAAGGTAGGACCTTGGCCCCGGGGTACGAAGCTTTAGCGTTGTTGCGTCAACCAATGTTTAGTTTCCGGTGGGTGTTTAGATGAATGTGTGGAATTTCCTATTGAACATTGCATGGGCCATAGTTGAGCTTGAGGAAAACAGATCCACTATATGGGCACTTCTCAGAATGGTCCCCCGAAAATGGTTGATTTCCTTTGGGTTCGTTTTAGATACCAAAGGGTGTCCATTTTGAGAAAGACTCACATGTGAAGGGTGGGTCAACTCGGGGAGCCGATGGCCCGACTCAGGTGGCGAGGCTTCCACAGGACCAGCGCCTCACCTTCCGCCTGCCCAAGGAGGCCTTGCCCCGAATCCAGGTGCGCGCCTGGGAAAGCTTCGGATGCTGTTGGGGAAAAGGAAATCAGGCCGACCGTTGCAAAATCGGAAGAAGGGAAGCTGCGGTTGCAGTTTGGGGCCATGTCCTGCGAAATGAAATCAGGTATTGCTGATCGGTATGTGCTCGGAATAGCCAAAAGCAATATAGACATGTAGCACTGGTTTCTCCGCGCCCAGTTTGGACGCTTTGCTTTTGCTTGTGTGTGTGTGTGTTTTACTCGGCTTGCGGGCATATCCCCGGTGCGTGAGGGCTGGCAAGAAATCATAGCAACCCCAGTGGCTGATTTCTTGACATCGCGCAGGTTTCTTGCTTCATTGCAATACTGGATTCCTGATTTCCCAGCCTTTTACAATTTTGGCGAGAATGTTGCTTTGGCAAGCAACCCAAAAAGCGAGCAAAGACATTTCGACCTTCAGACAGCATTTTAGTTAGCTGCTCATGCACGCAGACTAGGGTGGTGAATCCTCGCAGCCCGTCCGGTCGTGCCTCATGGGCAAGCTGTGTTTCTTGATGAGCCAGCTTCTGGGATCTCATCCATCAGGAGTTCCTATGATATCTTCTGGGGGACGTCTCCGGCAAAAGCTCCAGTAAAATACAATAGACTGCGTAAACTCAGATTGAACATGAGGAATGACTGGCACGCATTGTTTCATGACATATCGCGTTACGTGGAACATGCTTCGTGCCTGAGCTAATGCTCAGGCCGCAGATGAGGTTGGTGTTTCCTTTTACGGGAGTTTCATAAACAATATCGCCTTTGGCATGGTTTCAAAGGGGAACCAAAAGGAAGCCCACTCTCAGTGGTCCCTCATTTTGGGAAGCTTCACATACTGAGAATCACTGATATGTATATCACGTTTTTGTACCCGAGACTTGGGATGTAGAAACCTATGAGAGACTCTGGTGCAAGGGTACCCTACCCGTTAGTTTATCCTGTTTTCCCCTATAAATTTCCTTGGGGGAGCAACCTTGTATGCATAGTGTATAGCCATGTATACCTATAGACATAACATAATATAGACGTTTGCAAGTTGCGCTTGTGGTTTCACTCTTTTATCCAGCGATTCGATTGCTTCTTCCACCGCAGCCCCACTTGCTCTCTTCAAGCCGCAGAGCCGCAAGTTGCGTTTGGCACTTTGGTCCGCAAGGGCGGAGTTGGGGGGGGGGGGGGTTGGGACCATGCCAGACCCTCTAACTATTCAACACCCGGGAAGGCTCACTTGCCCCAAGCAAATGGACCAGAACGTTCCTTTTGGTTTTCCCATGTTGCCCCAGATTCTCAACACTGAGCCTTCTATGTCCAGGTTTGAAGTTCTTGTGGGGGCTTGTTTCTATTTTGCTTTGCTTTGGTGGTCTTGCTAGTTGGGACGTCCGTGCAGCTAAGGAAGTTTGGAGGCTGCAGCTCAAAGATGTGATCAAGTTCAAAAGATTGGACTCGGAATCTGTTTTTTGTTTATACCGATAGATGTGTGCTTCAATCGCGTTGGTCCTGCCGATGCATGATTGCGCATTATCCTTTTCGCGTCTTTTGTTGAGTCTGATCTGGAAGCCCAACCTTGCAAGCCACTTTGCAAGCCGCCGCAGAAAGCAGAATGCGACTTTTGGCTGAAAACGCAGGATAAATGCAGTCCTGCATGAGTTCCCAGAATCGTTGAGACCGGCACCGCCCAGCCTGTAGGATCTGCAAGTGGGCGTGTGGTGTTTTGTTGGTCCCCTTTCAGAAGTAGCAAGCCGAAAACACAGCTGGTAGCCTATAAAAGAGTTCCCGATTTTCAGAGACAAGGCCTAGAGATCTGTGCTTAAGTAGCCTTACGAGACCCAGGAGTCTGGCGATGCAACATCTCATATGTGTGACGGGGTTACGTGCCGGGGGGTGGCGGGCGGGCACCTATCCAGAGCTATCAAGGTGACTGAGATTCCCTGACAATTTCCCATGTCATAAGTCACAGCATGAGCAGTGTGCGGTTGTGCAATCGATGACAGTTGCTGACATGTCCTCATTTTGTCCTAGACTTGTTGTCTAAGCACGTCTCTTTCTGTTGGCTGAACAAAACGTTCGGCACAGGCTCCAGGGGAGATTTCAAGTTGAACCAGAGTTGCTTCCGTTTGGCGAGAAATGTGGTCACCGCAGTTAATGGAGCTGGGGGGGTTTATGAGGCACATTCCTGGATTCTGGATAGGACCTGAGGGCCCCAGTCAGAAGGGCGTGGGCCGTCTTCGACATCACCTGCCAGGCAGATTCGATCTGAGATTCGTTGGGGGAAACATAGAGAACCCTCATAGGCGCACAGAGCCTTTGGTGAGAAGTGCTCTTTGGATGTTCCCCGAAAACCTTTTGGCAGCGAGCCTCTGAGCCGCCTCCAACTGGCAACTTGAGATCCCGCCCAGAAGGGTGTCGGTGTTGTGCCTTCGGAAGCCCAAAAACCCGAGGGGGGGGATTTTGATCACTTCCTAAGTCACCCTCAAAGGTGACCAAAGCGCGGCATGGGGACCGGCTGAGGCCGCCCAAGGTGCATGGAAGATATCGACCAGGTGCGGAGCTTGTTTCATGGCTTGCATCCCCAAGATGCTGAGTGAACAGCTCTTTGCTGGTTGTCAGAAACATATCACTTTTTGTGGAAAACAACAACCCTTAGTTCGTGGTTTTGATTGGTTTGAATTTGGTTTTGAACCCCTGGGATTGGTGGCTTGCATGCAAAGCAGGCAGAAGTCATGGCCAAAATGGGTGTGTCTATGTGTGTGTGCGTGTGTCTCAAAATGGGATAACCCAATATGAATCGTTTCTGTTTGGCCTCCCCTTGTTTGGCCTCCCCTTGTTTGGCCTCCCCTTGGTTTCCCTTTGGTTTCCCTTTTATCCATACCTTCAAAACGGCCATCCTCAACGACTTCCAACTGGCTTGTCGCAGGTGCTGCAGCTCTGGCAGAGCTTGAAGCCGACCGGTGCGGCCTTTCGGGCCCGGCTCTGAGGTTCCACGTAAAGCGTACTGGTGCGAGAGATGCAGGGAATGAGAATTGGAATGACCCCAATGACCCCAATACACCATCCTTTGTGATAGGTCCTTTATGGTTTCGTTTAAGGGGGACCCCTGGGTTTGATTCCCCACATTGCCTGAGCACCAGCAAAGGGATTGTTCAGCCCCCATCTTGCAAGCCCTCTTTGGGCTCGAAAATGTTCAGCCCCAGAACGCAGGGTTTCCCCGACAAAACTGCCAAAACAACAAGGGGGGGTGACATGCGCTGACCCAGGAGTTTGCTTTATCAGCACCCCCATCGACGACTGCCTTGTGTACCCCGAGAGGTTTTGCACGTAAGAAGTTGTTGGACTTCAATTTGCAGAGTACATCACTGGGCGAGCCAAAGCTGTTTCGAGTGGACAGCAGTCAACTGTGTTGAGAGGTGCATTGCGACCCTTAATGAGGAATTACCCACCTGTCATCACCTGTCCACAGCCCCCAACCTCAAACCTACCACCTAGACCGCAGGCGGAATGCTTGGATGACGCCATCTCCATGGTCGCCTCCCTGATCGCGGAGTCGGGGGCGCAGAGATGCCTGCAGCGGCGCGCCCTGCAGCTGCTTCGGGTGGATGACTTGCAGGCGGTCGAAGAAGCGCCGTTTCGGTCGCTGAATCAAAGGGCACTTTCAAAGGGACCTGAAGAGGGGTGTGTTGAAAGATATGTTGGGTACAACCCCGCTCGCCGGAAGAAGAGCCCAACCTGTCAGGGGTTCGAGACACCGCAAAGGTTCCTGTGACTACAAGCGAGGGGGTTGGAGTCCATGTTAAGCAAAAAGTCTCAAAGAGCCGACTCCAGGATCATGTTTTGCCTGTCAGGTGCCTGTGCTGGTCCAGATGCTTCAGCCCCTGGGCCGAAACGGTGTCTCCGAATGCGGACCCCCACCCAAATGTCGATCCTTGCAGAACACGGCAAAAAGCGTACTCCGGAAAGAAGGAGCTCCCCACCTGAAAACCACTCCAACAACGGGGACCCTGCCATGCTTGTCTAAAGTATTGTCCACTGTGCAAAACATTCCTGCGTACATTCTGCTTGTTGGCCCGTGGTAAAGCACGACAATGACCTTGTTGCACTTTTCAGAATCTAGAGTCCTAAAACTACGTATCGTCACGCCAATGTCAGACCTACAACCGTGATGCGTTTTCCGGTTGCCGTTGGGTAAGCGTCTGGTTCTGGGCACTGGAAGCCTCCTGGTTTTCGGGTTTTCGGGACGAAGTCCCGCGGGGCCGTAGGTGGCCTGATCCACGTTGAGTCACTGAAAACGTGAGCGCACGCAAATATGAGTATGTGTCAAAACCAGGCACCTTGTTTTGCTCAAGTTTGAAAAGGGCCAGCAGGAGATGTGGATGTTTCCCTGACCTCCTTCGTACCATGGTGCTTTTGATTTGAAACAGACCGCAAGAACGCTTCCCTGGTTTGGGGCACCTTTGTTTGGAAGGGGTGGCTAGTGCGTATGTTACAGCTGAACGGTGCGCTTTCTGCTTGTTGTCCTCGTGATAGCTTTGTCCCACATGTACCACATGATCACTTTGGTGGTTATTTGGTGCGACCCTTCTGCTTGCAGGTTACAATGTTGATTGCGTTCTCTGAGGGTGGACGATGGCTTCATCCTCAATGGCAAGCCTGGGGCAGACGTGCAGACGGCAGCGGTGGTGTACTTCCCTTGCTTTTGGCAGGCCATGAGCGAAATTCAGCCACTGGACCGCACGCCGATTGGCGTCCGAGTGAGTTGCGGTTTCGCTGGTGGCGTCGTTTCAGGCTTCAACGTGTTTTGGGGGGCATGGTTGTAAAATGGGGCGGGGGGAGGTCGGCGCATTTCTCGTGAGATCATAATGTCTTGGGAATCCCTGGTGGTAGGTATGGCCCACTTTGGTCTCACAGAAAGGCTCGGTGATTTCGCGTTATTTCCCACATCCAGAAGGGGGGGACCATGCACCTTGATTGCGTCAGACTTGATAGGGCTACAT